TCCAGTTTCGGCCGTGGACGGCTTGTGGTCTCTAGATATAATGGGACCTTTTCCGCAGACATCCAGCGATAATCAGTGTCTGTTGGTGATGACCGAACATCTTTCGTGATGGCTGGAAATCATCATGACCTCGAATCAACAAGGAGAAACTGTGACTAAGATAGTGATTCGAAATATCGTTGCAGATCATGGTTTACCGAAGACGATACCGATAGGTCAGGGTCCTTATCGCGAAAGTGAAGAACTTACATCCCACTTGTAGCTATTAGGTATTAGGAAGATTAAAACAACACCATGTCATCCACCATCTAACGTTCTAACAGAGAGAAATAAACGCACACTAAGGGGGTGATTGGTGTCTAAGGGAGGTAACTGGGAGATGGAACTTCCATTTATTCTGTCAGTACGTCGTGCCTCCGTCCAGGAAACAGGAGCGTTTCACTTCATTTAAGGCGGGAAACCGCGACTACCAATACACAATAAGACCTGGTCGCATAAGTGGTGGAGTATGAAGTAGGAAAAACAATAGAAAGAAGCCATCAGGAATATGAAGCCTAAACGGAAGATCGGCGCTGCAAAGTTTGAGCAACGAGAAAAGAAGAAATGCATACGATTTAAAGTTGTGGATCAGATAAGGTGCCTGTTAGAAACAGGCAAGGTTCTTTTGTCTGTCAGGGACAGATATGGTCTTATTTATACCACCAGAAAAGGAGACAAGCAGAAGCATGTTGACTCCAACCAAATTCAGAGATGTGTATAGTGAGGTAAAAGAGTAGGTACTAAGTCACAACAAGAACGGGTGTCACCAGGAATAACGAAGCGGCCATGCTAGAGATTTTGAACGGTACACGAGTGTGGAGTGTACTACTGACAATAATTTGTATACAGTCTATTGGTGACGCCTTCTGCAAGAATTCTGAATAGCTGAGTGACGGATTAAGTTTCAAAGAGGAAAAGTGAATGTCATTACGAGACCATATAAAAGGCATGAAATGAACACAAAAGATTTATAATACCATTAGATTTTATTGATTAAGGCTTTAGCGTGACGTTTTTATATGTTGCCCTCATTATACGTCAGTTAGCCAAATAAGCGATTCTGCCATCAAATAACACTGTTATGCCACTCATTACAAGGGTAAAATTTATTCAAAACTCTCTTTCGTCGCAGCTGGTAACTCGTTATACAAAACTACCGAATTTCAGTTGACTTGTCATACTACATAGGAACTTCTAAAGGCTTAAGTTATCGGTATTAGAAACAGCAACCGCAGATTGTGTATTGAGAAGCAGTTCATACAGCAAATATCCCTGCCTTGGTGGGAAAGACCTAACTAATTATGTTCCAACTTTATACAATTTTAATCCCTTTATTACACTTCGACTTAAATTCTGTTTGTCTAATTCCATTGCACTTTAGCCCTATTATTTATTTTTAAATCTGTAGTCTACTATGCCTGTGTGAACGTCCGTTTGCGAAATTATGCTGCTGTAACTGATCTAGCCCTCACTTACTTCATCATTCATCACTACTGTCAATGTTATTATTATGACTATGAATAATTACATAATTTGTATCTATCTTCCCTACCAACTGACAAATTACCAAGACTAGTTTATACTCAGCGTTTACGTGTAATGTTATGCTTATTGGAGTAAAACCTAAGGAAATTTAGTTAAAAGTAATATTGTCAGATTACACTTGAAACAAACTTCAGACAATTACATAAACTACTAGATGGACCCAGTTAAAGTGTTGCATCCCAAAGAAGACTTTATCCCAATACCTCTTACTTGGACCTAAAAACACTTATTTAAATAATCATAGGAATACCGTCTATCAAAAGATGAACACAAACTAATTTTCCCGAAAACTCATAGTAAATTCAAAACAAATACTACGCTGCTCCAAGTCAGCTTTTTATTTGATGCAGAACGCAATGACACAGTCCCGTTTACTGGATTACTGCTCATTGCAAAATTTGAACTGACTAACACAGAATTACTCTACACTACAATGGCTAAGTTTTACGCTTACGAGTCAGTTTGTACTAAACATAGTAACTGTCTAATTTGGATATAAGGATAGAACCAGAACACTATGGTAGAGTATAATTCCATAAAATAGTAAATTTATTTGATAGATTCATACGTATGTCATATGGTTACAAGCAATAAACTGTTCTCAAAAAGTCCATTTGAGTGGCCGTCGGAAATAACTAAATGATACGTTTAAGAGTGCTGTTCTTCAAAAGATAAGAAACAGAGTGATGTGTGTCACTCAATTAAATTTCAGAAGATTAGAAATTTACATCTGGGTGCACTTTTTGTCATCTAATATATATATATATATATATATATATATATATATTCTGGATCATTTTTAGTAATGAAATATAAACTTCAGACATACTTCCTTGTACTAGCTGAAGATAAATGCCAGGAAACATATTAATGCATGAAAATTAAAGGTTAAAAAGAAAGCATCAGTTTCCACCTGCCTGGCACAGCAATGCCCTCACAATTTTCAGAATATGCCTACAATACTTATCGAAACCATACCTTGTCATTAGACTTATAAACACATGTTCAATACATGGTGTACTTCTGTGGAAATAAAGATGCATCTGCTACTGACGCTTTGAGTTTAAAATGACAGTTGCTGAAAAAAGCATACAGTAGCAGTAGGCAGTTACAATTAATGTTAAGGAGTAAGAGCTGTTTTTACTCCGAATAAAAGTTAAGTTTTAGACTCTGGTAATATAAAGATAACCATTTAAAATGAAAGCTGAAGAATGTGGAGTTAAGGAGGGAGATTAAGTAACCTTAAGGCTTTACTTCCTTTAGTACATTTGAAAACGAGTGTCTCCTGTAAAATGTGCTATATGAATAACGGAAGTACTACAAGTATTTCAGAAGTAATCACTGGTTGAAGTCATCCGGTATATTGCCAGAACATAATATTTCACTAAAATGGAACTCAGATATCATCAATGCATTTGGATAACCTAGCTATATTTCCTAATATTCCAGTAAACATAATAAGGGTGGTGCTATTATTACATTGCCATAAAACCCTCACCTCGTCATCGTTACTAAGTAACTTTGGGCAGCCAGCAATAGTGTTCTTGAGAAGCTTCTAATCTGATAATAACTGATAATAACTCAAATGCACTCTTCTGGCAGTAAAGCTATCAGCACACCTCTTATAATAAATACATTCCATCTAAAAACAGAGTTTTACGTTATAACCCACAGTGGGTTGTGCATAAAAGGATTCAAAAATGTAACATCTCATTAGGAAATAGTTTAATTGAGGATAGTTCAGAAAACCAACTAAAGTAAAAGCAATACAACCCACATATGAATTGAAAATAAGAAGTGTGCTATTTAAATATTACAGTACTTAAAGAACAGGTTCTTGTAAATTTCATCTTTGGACTGTCGCAAGTTCTATGATCTCTTTAAAGTTATGGGCGGCGGTATAAATATAGTGTTTTGAAGCCAGATGACTCATTAAAAGTCTAGTTAAATGTTCAGAAATGTAGCAACGAGAAGATATTGTGTAAGTGTAGCTACGAGAGCTTTGTAGCATAATTTACCTTTCAGTCTATATGATGATTATACCGTGGCGGAGTGTGACCTGCTAGCATTTCACTATTTGCAACGTATCAATTTAGTTTAACCCCAAGTACACACACAGGGGAAGAGAAAGGATTATAATAAATTCGATCATCTTGATAAAATGAAAAACGGGGCAAAAATGAGAATACATTTGAAGTCAGAGATCATGAAGCTAACGTGAGGAGGTATTCTCACATCTAATTCATCGTGTAGATGAATACAAAGTTATCTGTCACTGCATACTCAGAAAGTACACTAGCATAATATGTATTAACCGAAACAAAGAAACCTATTATAAGCGATGAAATATGAGGACGTTACATTGTTAGTAGTGAAACATTGCTATCCGTGGGAATACATCATAATTTTGAGACTTCATGTAATTCAGTACTGTGTAACATGCAGTTTCATCCATCAAAATTGGGGACAATAAAGGGAATTTCCATAAGACTAATCTGTTGTGTATGCTAGAAAGAATCAATGGTATGCAGGGTTCTACAGCTTCCATTCAACATGCAAGCTGACTATATCTAAATTTGTTCAAATCATGGAAGCAATTGCACATTTAGTTTCATGAGGACACTAAATATAACTGCCATCACTAGAAATAAGTCGAGTGCCTAAATTAGTAACAATATAAATGACTCTCATGAAACCACATAACAAGTTAAATAAAACGCCATAAGAATATGGTATTTAACTAATAGAGACACATGAGATTCTGCGCAGTATATAGTCTTCAGCTTCTACAAACGAACCATTTTTAATTTTACTAGTGAGTGTTGTACTGGTATATAGTTGTGGGAACACCGGTTGCCTATAGTAAATATCACGATGTGGTATTCAGCAATAGTTGTTTCTTCCGATCTATCAATTTCATCTGGACGCAAAACAATGTGGTTTTGTTCCAGCAACATTTGCGAGTGATGAGAAATGACGGTCCTCAAGTTATAAGTGAAAATAGATCAAATCTCATGAGTTACAAAAAGCTCAGTACTCCAGAGAGGGAAATGGAAAGACAAATCATCCCCACTTCAAAATGTCTCCTACCAAGTCTGATGAGAAATTTAATGCCTTTGAATAAACATTTAGAGAAATCGCGAAGTATTACTAGAAAAAACATGTGAACTGAGACCACTGAATACGATAAATATCCCAGAAAAAGTAAAATTATATATAGTCCAACAAACAAATTGGTAAGTCATCAAGGTTTCGCACAAACACCGACAACCATTCACACTAATGTATGAAGCATATATATGTATGTATAATCTGTAAAAATAACTGAAATAAACAAGTTGATAAAATTTCGTCAATCCACTGAGTAACCCTTAATAAATATGGAAAAAACCTATTTTTATGATAAATGTAGTTACCAAACATTTTCCCTTCATCGGAAATAATTATTTTTCTCCTCCCACAAGGTGGGTATATAATTAAAGCCTCACGAAAGCTCTGCTCTATTTCTGGAGACCAAACACTATCTTTGGACTCGTCTCTTGTTTCTAGGTCATCTTCTTCGTCCTCCGAAACATAGGAAATTTTTTCAGTTGACTTTGGATTGACAAGTGTTTTTTGATTCGATCTTACGTTGAAACCGCTATCTTCAATCATTGCGCTTAAAGTCGTTTTATGTTTGCACACGCCAATGTGACCTTGTAGGTAGTAAATTGAAACGACCAGAGTGTTACCCTGAGTGAAAACTTGACTTCAAAGACAATGAATCGATGACTTATTTCTTCATAGAGGAATTCATTCAGAGATATCACGTGGCGATTATAAAACGACCACTTCACACTTGGCAATTATGAGAGACTAACTGGTACAGATGTTTAAATGATTGTTATTCTTTTCTGGGTAGATGCAGTTTTCTAAAGTCAAACTCTGTTATCCTTAGCTGAATCTCCTCAGTGGGAACCTGCTTTCTGCCTAAGTGTATAATGAGGCAATTCCTTAATTCGGATATTTGTATAGTGACGCATATGGAACATTGATAAATTGTTTTCTGCTATTGAAATCGGGACATGACATGTCTTTCATCGAGATCATTATTACTCTTTTTGGTGTTAACTGGAATATAGGGCTTCAGCAGCACGTCTCCATTCTGACGCTATTTTTCTGAGGCCGTCTTTAGCTGGTCCTATGGTTGCTCATAGTCTCTGTCCTCCTCCCCACACGATCTCCTCCATACCAACTACAGATGTCTCACTCGTTGTTTCCTGTTCTGGTCCGATTAGAGTGATGATCTGACCTGCGCGAGAAATCTTTCGACGGTCCCTCCAGCATGTACTTAGTTCATCCCCATTTTCTCTCACATATTTGTTGAGCAATGGGTCCTCGGTTGGTTTCATGTTGATAATTCTTTCTGGCTATCTGATCTTTGATATGGAGATGCGAAGGCGCCGGTCGATAAGAGTCTGTAGTAGCCTGCTGTAAATACTTTCCGTGACTCGCGTGATACGTTTGTGACCCATAGAGAAGGATTGACTGACTTAATATTGAAGTTGGAAATCCGAATCTTGTTCCTTATGATGTGTTCGGAAGACCCCAAGATTGATTTCAGAGTGATGAAGGGGTACCTTGCCTTAGTGAGTCTGGTTGTGACATTACCATAGGTTAAGTTGGTTGTTGAAACGATTCTTCTTAGATGAGTGGATGAAGTAATTTCTTGGATATTTACCGTTGGTGATGATTTGTTTTTGTTGTTGTTAGTTGATTATCTTCATCACTTCCATCCTCTCAATGTTCACCTGAAGTGCTGTTCAAGGAAACCAGTTAGTTAGGCTGCTACCATATATTTGAAATAACTTCTAGTTGCCATCAATTATAAATGACGTTCACGGCTGTTGGGCGACTGTCAGCCCAACTAGACCTTAGCTCAAGTCAAACTATCTGCTGACTCTTTAGCCTGGCCCACCTAACCCGGTGGTCAGACTGCCCTCAACAGTGCCCTGACTAGCGATGGAAGAATATAACACTCATGGTTGCTGTAAGACAAATTTGTTGGCAATGATTTGGAAAGAATATACAAGTAGATAATGCCACTGCAGCGAAACTGCCGAGCTCCTGTCCTCTGAAAATTATTTTTGACCTCCATTCGTTTCCATCCACATGGGTACGCAAATTAATCGAAACAGGCGTCAGCTCAAAAGCCGGTGGCCGTTGAACAATGATAACGTAGCTCTTTTAAATGTAAAACGTTTGACTTCTTCTTTTGAGACGGTCGGTAATTATACAGTGTTTCGACCCGAGTCCATGTTCCGCTTTTCACAACGCACTTGATACACTGTTGCCTGTGCTGTTCTATCAAAGAACATGGCAAGCCTACGAAACTCTTTTAAATCAAAACGAGGCACGAAGAACCTGGAATCTGCTGATATTACTTGAACACACGCACAAGAAGACCATACCACGGTGTCACCAGAGTAGTCATCAGCCTCACTGATTCCACTGACCTCAATGCCTGCTACTCATACGGTTCGGACCATGGTACCGCCACTCCAAACAGCTTTGATGACCACAGACACAAAAAAACGTAGTCAACTGACAAACCAAAAATAAAATTCCCCCTATCGGAAAAGATTGTCCCAGGGGAATCGCTCACTTTATGGGAAGACTAAAGTCGGCGACATGTTCAACAATTCGACGAGAATAAACAGCTAGGTTATCACTGTTTGGCGGTCACCTGTTTTTTGAATGAAACGGCTGAGGTTCAGGGAGTCGACGAGTTTCTTCGGCCCCCTACATTATATTCTGACCCTCCTCTTAAGCCAGTTTGCTGCTCTTCATCTGTAAGTCTTAGAGGTCATGTGACCCTTTAAATAAACCATCTTGAAATCAGCACCTTCTACAGTCACCCTATCAATTCAATGTATTCCTTTCTTGTCGCTCCCCACGCGTCGTATGTTATATAACACAATCTAAATTCAAGAATGTCTTCGAAGATAGTAGGCAACTCTATCTTATTCGTGTATCCACTTGAAAGGCCTCTCTGAGTCTTCCATTGCGAATCAGTAGACATATTACATTGCCGTACAGTTGTTAGATGAGGTTGATATGGATTTTGAGCATTGAAGTAGTTTTCAGACTATTTCATTGCCAAAGCTGTTGCGGTCTCTTTCAAAATTAATGAAACCACGGCAGAGATTTGACTGACGTCCTATCCATTATTCCATAGTGATGTATATAGTTCCAACTTGATTCAAACATAATATGCTTTTCGTGAATCCAGCTTGTTCCGGTCGGCAGATTTCTTCATCCGGTGCATCTTTGGGTCTCTCCAGAATGATGCGACGTTTTACTTACAGCGGACAAGTGTATGATTTCGCGTCAGTTCTTCAATTGGCTGAAGACGCTTTTCTTCGGTGGTTTGACAAGAGATCCTGTTTTCCAGTCATTCGGTACATTCCCTTCTTTCCGAATTTCGTGTGGTAGGTGCGTGAACATAACCGCTGCTGTCTCTGTATGCTTTTCCAGTGCTTAAGAGGAGCTTAAGCACTGAATCAACCGAATACAACAAAGAATAAATGCTCATCGCTGACTTCCCACTAACTTTTTTCACATTAAGAGGTAATTTTGCACGCCTTCTTAGCACTAGATTCACCGTATTGATTGCAGCACGGCCTCTGAGTCAAAGGAATACAGCAAAAAACATAATTATGTCGATTAGGTTATGTTCATGAAATTTAACTTGACGTCGACCTCCTCTTTCTTTTAATTGCAGTTGTGGAAATAAAAGAATTTGTCGTTGAAAGTTTAATGACTCAAGGTCAGCTTGACTGTAGTTGTCAGCCAACTGTCAGAAACTATCAATGTCCAGCTCTTACTACGCTGGACCTCACGCTGTCCCTCGAAGACTTTCAGAAACAATTTGTAGTAACCTACGCGAAAAACCAGAACACAGATTGACGACTCAAGAATCCCTTATTCTTACGCCAACATGTAACCAACAATAAGGTTATTATACACAAGCTCTTAGAATAAATGTTGCAACAATAAATCACGATAATACTTCCGATAGCTTTCTGTCTTCCACTGAACAGCGAACGATGAGACGATGACTGCTGGATTGATGACTCCCACGAAAAATATGGAGGAGTTGGGTTTGAGCAAACAACCATGAATTGATCGTTCAATCTTCAACTACATTGACAGTAGTATACCGCCAATCCTTCACTCAAGGAATGGTTCCACACATTATACCTGCGCACTAGTTCTATAGAAACGCCTGTTGTAAGTTGTTTCTCATATTTCACTGAATGCATACCTGCATTCACAGAAAATTTAAATGTTTTCTCGCTCTGTACACAGACCTGAAAACTGATTTGATTCACAGTTTTCCCTTGAACTTTGTTCTTGCTGTGGTTGGGCAAAAATGTCACTGAACGACTGTGCGTCCGTGGCACAGTGCTTAGGACTCTTGCCGACCATCCACATGGTCCGAGGTTCGAGCCCGCACCGACGCACACCTGATATTTATGGTCGGCCTGCAAAATTTGGGCCACCGATATCCATGCTGAAAATGCCATACTTGTACCGAAAATACAGTGTGGAATCAAGCTGTAAATCAAAAAAATTTTGATTGTGAATTCGCAGGTTGCAAAACAGTGAATTTTAAATACAGTGGTGATTATGATTCTCGTATCGCATTTACCTTATACTGCCATGGACCTCGTTAGAGTTAATGTTAATTATATTACCCTTCCGGCCGCCTGCAGTTTTGAGCATACTTGTAAAGTGCCTGGAGACGCTGTCGAAAAACTTTCTGATCAACTTTACAGAAATTTATCATGTAAAATTTGATCTTCCGGTCACCATCAATAAGGCTTAGGAAATAACTAAGTATTTTGCTGATCACGTTGACAGATGGATATAATTTTATTCGGGGCTACCAGAATGATTAGTAAACATATTTTCGTGCCAATCTTTCGTCACATTAATTGCTGAGTATGTGGTTCATAGATTATGCAGTAGGTATTATTTGAGTTTAACTGTGGTTTGAAACATAATATGATATCTTCCTTGGAGGGTTTCTTGTGATAGTAGTGGCGAAAGTACGTGATGGTTTTGCGCCAAGATATGTAAGTTGGAATTCCCCTAATTAATTAATTAATTAATTAATTTTTCCTTCACGTTCCCAGGGGGTTCAGGCTATTGGCTTGAAGTTTCTGTAGCAGTGATTATTTTTACAGGATGGGTTTGCTAGCCTCATGCCCAACCTTCCCTCTTTACCAGCATTATTTCTGGCTCAGCCAGGTAAAAGAGTGCGTCAGTGGCCGGGGATCGAACCCCGGACCATGTGGATGGTCGGCGAGCGTCCTAATCGCTATACCGGCCACTTAAACCTGAACGACATCTGGCCGACGTTTGAAATAAAAATTAAAACCCGAAGTTAAACGATGACTATACAATAGTATGTGTAAGCTAGATAGATCTAGAAAATAAAACGGACAATCTTTCATACATTCACTTAAAAAGAGACGTTTGTGAAAAATAGGTAGCCAAGAGATTGAACCATACTGTCAAGCAAGTGACGGAAGATGCGATGTTATACCTCTCAGTAAACATATAGTCGATGGGAGACTAAAATCCGCGACGTTTTGCGTCGGTGGCACAGTGCTTAGGACTCTTGCCGACCATCCA